CTCTTGGTGAATTAGCTATTCAGTAACTGATCCTTTGGCAAATGGCCCCAGAACATTGACTTGCTTCCCTTTTCTTCTCTCAAATCAATTTCACTGGTCTCTCACCCAGCCCCCTTAGGACATGTCTTACTCATTTTGTATCCCCAGAACTCAGCATGATGTGTTTCATCTTATGAGGATTTTAAAATATTGACAAATAAACAAATGAATTAATAAATAACTTTTACCCTGCCTTAACCTTGAATATTTTTTTTCCCAGCAGGCTAACTACCAGGGGAATCTTGAATTAATAAATAACCCTTACCCTGCCTTAATCTGAATATTTTTTTCCCAGCAGGCTAATTACCAAGGGAATCCGAATTTAAATAGGGAAGACTAAGGAGAAAAATCTTACACACTTTACTCTTTCTAGCCATGTTTGTTATCACATAATCTCATAAATAATTGGTTTATGAACTATAAACTGAGTCCTAATATCAAACTTTAAGAAGCTATCCAGATATGGAGTTTGAAATAAAATTGTGCCAAATTTGCTTGGGAAAAAAAGCTTTATTGGACAATTGAAAATCCGTTTCCATGCAAGATATTTTGTTATACTTGGATTTGCCTTGTAGATTTATTATCAGACTTTTGTTGGATTTGGCTTGTACATTTATTAATAACTCCCATTCACCAAAAAGATTTGGACAGAATGCTTCCTGTACATGTAGTAAAGACTGTACATATCTACTATTTGTTGCCATCACCATCTATAAATCTTGACTTATATCCACCATATTGATTCATAGTTCACCATGAAGCCAAGACTGCCTCAACAGAGCTCAAACATACTGCTTTTCTGGAACATACCAAGGCTAGATCTGCATCAAACTTATAAATCCAAATTCATGCTCTTTACTTATTGTTGGACATCTCCCATATTCAAAACCAAATTTATAGCCATGCCTCAAACTTTTCCTCCTGAGACCTCTACTTCATTGATCCATACTGGCCTTCATTCCCTTATGTCTTTCCCTGCCCCCTTTCAGGTAGATTCATAGAGAATAAATGCAAAGAACCAAAGAGAGATAAAATACCAGCTGTGTTAGTAGTGGCACAGTAACTCCCAAAGTACAAGCTTTCCTAGTATAAAGCCTGAAATATAGCACTGAAGACAGCTTGGCATGAAAGGCCCCACCTAACTAACCATTAGCCTCAGGCTGTGAATACTGCCTTCCCCAACTGGGGCTTACTACCTGGAGAAAGGAAGGCCAAGGCATACCAGGCCTGAACAAAGCCAAGTCCAAAAGGATTTTTTAAAAATTGTGCCATACATGAATGATGATATTCAAACTCACCCAAAAGATAGACGTGGCCCCTTGACTGTCAGGCTCTGGCCCATCTCACCAATCAAATTATTCACTCCTCCACCTGCGCTTAGGACGCTATGCTTGTGAGGGAAAGGACGTATAAAGGCACCATCAGCCTCTCCCTTCTTAGCCAGAGCAGCAAAAGTCCTTTCTTGGAAACCCTGAAGAGTAAGGACATAAGAATCCCGGTTTTAACACTTTCTACCATTTCCCCAGTGATCCAAGGCAAGTACTTGGGCATAAATTTAAACTACATCCTTCTGACTTCCTCATCATCCTCTACATTCTATCAATCACCAAACCCTGAAGTTTTATCTCCACATATTTCTCCATATATCCTTTTCTCCCCATCTATCCTACCTCAATCCTATATCCAGGTCTCATCATCCTCTGCCAACACTACAGTAAAAATTTCCTAATTCTTTCTGATTTGTCTTGCTCCATTTCTAATCTAATCTCCACACTGCAGCCAGAGTGATCATTCTGAAACTCAGTTCTGAGTATGTCACTCTGACAGCTTTCTGTTAACTACAGGATAAAAGCCAGCTCTTTAGAATGACTTCCAAAATCCTTCATGACCTACCACTTTTCCAAACTCATCTGTCCCATTTCCCTGGCCCCACACTCATCCCAGTAATATGAAAACGTCTGTAGTTTCTGACGGTCACCAAACAATTGCAAATCTTCATCCCTTTGTTCATGTGATTCCTTCTGTCTGAAATCCCCTTGAGTCCCGGCTCATTTGGTTAACTTTGATTCAATCTTGAAGACTCTGCTTAAGGCATTACCTCCAGGAAGCCTTCCCTAACCTTAATGCCTCATTGCTTCCTGTCCTGCTCTCTCAGGCTAGAGGAAAATTACTCCTCTTTTGTACTCACTCTGTGAATTGCTCCGTCATTGAATTCACTACCCTATGTGGATATTTATTTTCATGTCTGTCTTGGGCAGGGGCCATATCCCCAGGAACTAGAGGCTATCAGCACACAAGATAAGTGTGTGGACTTAAACTGAGCTCTTTGTTCTCCCAAATCATTCATTCCTTAATTTATCCATGAATTCGATAATAATTTATTGATGAATTTCATGGGTATGGCCCACCCTACTCATCCACTTTATTTTTGCTGAGTAATATTCTGATTTCCTTGATAACCTTTTGGCCTGTGTGGAAAGCAATCATTTTCCTTCTTCTCTACCATTTCAGAGCATACGAAGAACATTTGTTAACCATTTCCAAACTGTGATTTGTTTTTAAATTGCTCATTTGAATCATTTTTATATGCTTCTTGTCCTGGTGACATAACTGACTGATTACACTGCATCTTTCATGGGTATGGACTGACCTAAGTGATGTGGAGTGACAGCCTAATCCTCTGGAACTGTGAGACTGCTGCTTTCCTTTGCTGGCTTCCATCTGCAGGAAATGCAAATCTCAGAGGCAGCCATCAGAATTAAATACATTTTGATAAATAATAACCTAGTAACATCACATTACAACTGCTCTTTGAAGTCACTCAGAGACTGAGCCCGTCTCTTCCTGCCTACTACTGGCTTTGGCAGTTAATGGGCACAGATTTTTTTTAATTCAAGTTAATAAGGAGTCAAATTTAAAGAGCTTTGATATAAATCTTACATTTTCCAAAGGAAATCTCAGGAAACAAATGGAAAAACTTAGCGGGTGGGTGGTGGCCAGTCTATGGAAGTCAAAAACAGAGCAGAGAGGCTAGTTTGGAGGAATTGGGCTTGGGAGCTGGAGAATAGTGGAAGATACGGACTCTCAGGACTTCCGGCATTGAAGATAATGAGCAGAGAGAGTGAGAAGAGGGCGGAGGTGGGAAGAACATGACCACAGAAAGATGGCTTCTATTTAGCTATGATTCTCCTACTACAATGGGCCCACTCTTCAAGGAAACAGTAGATTTGTATAAACTACCTCATGAAGAGAACTTTAAATAACAATAAGCTAATTGGTTAATTTTACACTCTAATAATTAGATTAATAAATACCCTAAAACCTTTTGGAAATAAATATTAAGTCCATACATGTTCTCACACTTCTATAGGGAATCAAAATATCTAACAACCAGCCCAGAATGAACTAGCCAACCAGAATGGCATGCAAACCATAAATATCAGTAAGGCCATACTGAAGCACAAAGCAAAATAGAAGCCTTACATATACACACAATTGTACAAATAGCAGGCATCTCTTCCCTCCCCTGCAAAGTTCCTTTCTGGATTTTACTCTGGTTTCTTTTCCAAGCAACAAGAATGACTAGTGATAAAAATTTTAAAGGAAAATCTGGTTATTCTTGTGTATATTGGCTTCTTGCCTAAAGCTAAAAAAAGGGCATAAGAGTTTCTTCCTCTATTTTCAGCTTCCTATTTGTCTTTCTCTCTGTTCCCAGGCCCTAAATAAGGCCAGCAACTCCCCTACTCCTGAACCCCTGTACTCCAAAGCTCCCTTCTCAAAGTAGAAACTAAAGGAGCATGAGCTGTTCCTTCCCTGGTCATCTGTTTTACCAAATCCCACACTTCTCACTTATCTCTCCAAGGATCCAGCACCCCAGCAACTTCTTTTCTGTCTTCTTCTCCAGATCTTGTTTCAGATCCAGTCTTCCACTCATAAGCTTTCTACAGTATTCATTTCCCTGCCATTCTGTCGTTTAGAAATTCTTTGGAAGATTGTAGCCATTTTAGGACATTTTGATGCTTCTGTCATGGAGCTATAGCCCCCCACCCCATTTTCCAATGGGAGCACTTGTTAAATGCTTCATGTCCGTCATTCTCCTGGATAGTTTACTTAGGTCATCTCATTTAACCATTACTATGCAATTAAACATTATTCCCACTTTGCAGGAAACTGGGAATCAGAAAGACTGAGGAGCTTGCATTGATCACACAGGTAGTAAGTGGGGAAATCGGGTTTTGAACTCAGGAGCCAGTTTGGTCCAATCTCATGTTCTTTCTTACCCTAAGTTTCTGCTCTAAAATAAAAAAACAAAAGTACTAATAAAACTATCTAAAGTTATGGAGTCTGGCCCTGACTGGCATTTTTCGAAACTCAATCAAGTGTTTATACCTATAAAAAAAAAAGACTGGGTCACCACTCCACATTTTCACATTGCTTATAAATCTCAAGTCAACAGAGCCCTAAGCAACCTTAAGCTTGAGAAAAATATTAACCAAAATAACTTCTGTCTATTACTGCTGAAGGGAAATAAGGTATTAAGTTGATAGATTTCTGATGTCTACTGCCATTTATTTGAATTAATGCTCCATTAGGTATTCAGAGAGTATAAAAAGATCAATGATGACCAGCTGGAGGTTAAATGGCAAATCCAAAGCATTATTTTAAGAGTTGAAGGGAGTGCTTTCTTTCTTTAGATTTAAGAGAAGGAAAAAGTATTTCCAATTAGACATGGGCCCCAAGTAAAGAAGAGTGACTTTTTCTGCTCAAGGTTGGTGCATACACGTGTGTGTTGGGAGGCAACTGTCAGTCACATGCTGGGATCTGATTGCATTCAGGTAGGTTTGGAGGGCTCCTGCAGGCCTCTCTACCCTGGGAAGGCATGGGCAGAGACTTACCCCCTCTTTAGGGGTGTGCTGATTAACTGTGAACTTCATGTAAGACTGTATTATTTTCAACCTCAGAAATATTTACCAAAAAATCAGGGACCATGACCTCCTGGACAAAAGGAAAACTGTCACAGCACTGAAGGCAGGAGAGGACCGGGCCATTCTCCTGGGACTGGCCATGATGGTCTGCTCCATCATGATGTACTTTCTGCTGGGAATCACACTCCTGCGCTCATACATGCAGAGGTAATGCCATTGGGTTGTTGGGACACGGTCATTGGTCTTCCCCTTCTCCTTCCTCTCCCATAGCTTATCTGCCCCAAGGTCCTCTTCCTCACCTTCTTTCCCAATAAGTACTTTGAACAGTGCCTGGCATGTAATATTTTTAATAATGTTATCCAATAATAACGATAATAGTTCTGTGTATAGGCTGCCTACTCTGTGCAGGGACTTTCCAGACATGACTTGCTTAATGCTCATGAATACTTTATAAGGGAAGTTCAATATGAATACACTCATTGCAAAAATGGCCAAACTGAGGCTTAAGATAGTTATAATTTGCCTGATATCACACAACGATAGCATATGGCAGAGATAAGATTCAAACCCACATCCCACTCATTCCAGAGTCCCTCTTCTTGCCTCTTCCCACCTTTGTTCTCCACCATCGTTCCTTTTCTAGCCCACGCCCCTCTTCATCACCCCACACCTCGGTGGTTCTCAACTGCACATTTATATTTTCTGAGAAACTTTAAAAAACACTGATGCCCAGCACCCCCACCATCGCCCCCAGAAGGTCAGATTTAATGGTCTGTAGTGGGACCCAGTTACCAGTATCTTTCGAAGTTCCCCCCAGTGATCCTAATGTGCTGTCAAGGCTGAGAAACACTGCTATGCATCAACTTTTAACAATAACAGAGTCTGAACCCTTTTCATTTTAATATTTGCCCTAGGTTTACTGAATAGATAGGGAGGCCATTAAATACTGAAACAGCAAATGTACTTCCCCCTGAGCAAACCGCATGATAAATCCCCACAGCCTCTCTAGCTAACTGTTGTCCATAAATTGGACACTTTGAGCACAGGGCAGCCTGGCATTGCTGTAACTAATGGGGAAAGTCTCACAGTGGCTCAGCTTAAAGAAACGAGGCCCTTTCCAATGAAAAATTGAGATTTCGCTCTGAAAGAGAATCAAGCGATTTTGTGGCATTCATTTCTCCACCTAAATTAATACTTTCGTTTTAGAAGCAAAATGTAGCAGAAATACAGTAATTTGCTAAAATTAAGTCATCATCTTCCCCGTTTGTGGCTGCTCCGCGCTGTGTCTCTGATGTCTTCAGCTGTGCTTCTTCTCAGGGAAAGCGCTGACGCCTCAGGCCTGAGTGTTCACTCATCCCCAAACCGCCTTCAGATCTTCACACCTGCTTAGAACCATCTGAGACTTTTTTCCCCTTTGTATAAGCAAAATCTGACCATCCATGCCCTAGGAAAATACAACTTGCCACACCGGAGGGGGCAAGGGCTAATATCCTGGCCTGGCATGAAGTCGGACATGAAAAGGGAAGTCAACACATGTCCAGCCAAAGGAGGGGGTATTAATCTGCAAAGAAAATGTGCTGTTTTCTGATCATTCTGGTAATCAGCTTATACCCAGAAGTAAAACTTTGAGTGCCAGTGTGTCACTTCTTAATCACAAATATTATCCTTGATCATAAAATTATAAGTATTTTGGAGTGAAAACTAACCAATGGGCAGCTGGAGGGGTTTTTTTCCTTTTTTTGATCTTTCTAATAGAGGTTCCTGGGGCACTGACATGAACCCATTATCTCCATAGAAGGGTCTCTTTGCCACTGTGTTCAAAGGGAGGCAACACAAAGCCATGGAATGAGCCTGGGTCTTCGAGAAATACAGGAGTGGGTAGAATGACCGTTTCCATCACTTACTAGCTGTGTGCCCTTACCTGTTTCCTGATTTCTCTGACCTTCACCTTTTAAAAAATTTAATACCCACCTTACAGAGTTTTGGCAATGCATATAAAGCACCAAGTAGGGTGAAGACAGATGCCACAAGTGATTGCTTTTGGTACAATGAAAGGGTGGAGTTATCTTTTCTCCCTTATTAGAAAGACCGTAAAGAAATAGATCACAGTCCTCCTGTCTATCAAGTTATATGTCAAGCGCCCCCAGCCCTTTGCCATCTTCCCTTCCCTTTCTCCCTTACACCTTCACTGCCTACAAACTGGGCAGACATAACAACTGAGGCCTGGTGTGTGGCAGGAAGCTGCTTACAAGGTAGAACTCAGGGTGAATACAGGTTGTGATATAAAAGATGCCTTATGCTTACCAGCGAATGTGAGAAGGAAGTCAAAACCTAACTTAAACCAAGCACTGGATATTACAGTACGTCTGACAGAAGTCACTGGAAACATTTTCAAGTGCCAGGCAAAGTTTATTTGTGTTTATATTGCAGTTGGCCTAAAGCTACTCTATTCAAAGGCATAAACTTTAACAAATAGATTGTATGATAGATCTGGAAAAGATTCTTCAGGTTAAGGAGTCGACAGATGATCCCCTCTGATGACACCTTCCTCGTTCTTAGTATCCAGGCCTGTGTTTGTTCCCCGTCCCCTTTCTCTGTAGCGTGTGGACCGAGGAGTCTCAATGCACCTTGGTGAATGCGTCCATCACAGAAACATTTAATTGCTCCTTCAGCTGTGGTCCGGACTGCTGGAAGCTCTCTCAGTACCCCTGCCTCCAGGTGTACGTTAACCTGACTTCTTCCGGTGAAAAGCTCCTTCTCTACCACACTGAAGAGACCATGAAAATCAATCAGAAGGTAAGAGCGTGGCGCACACACACCGCATTTCGGTCACCACCCACAGAGTTCCCACGCGAAGCCTATCTCCCTCTGAAGTTTCCCTGTGCCAGCATTTCAAAGGAAAATACCACTGGGAAGCAGGCCCTGCCTCATCCCTTCACAGAACTATTTGACTCTTGCCTGGGAGACATTTATTTTCTGTGCATGTTGCAGACAAATCCTTCCCCCATTTTGTGGTAGTGCAGATTTACCCTTTACTTTCATCTAGAAGAGTAAACATCCTATCATTTATACACAAATAGACTGAGTCTTTCAAAGCAAATGTGCAGCTTAGTCCAAGTCATACAAGCCAGAAAAAAAAAAAAAAAAAAAACAGGTATTCATCATATACCTGAGAGCACCAGAGTAAAACGGTATTTTCCTTTCCCACAGTCATTGTCACTTTGTGCTGTGGCCATGGGGATGTAACTTAATCTCTCTGAGCTTCAACTTCCTTTTCTCTAACATCTTTGCAAGGCCGTTTTGAGGATCAGGGCTGTGTATGTAAGGTACGGAGCAGACCACAGTGCCTGCACAGGGGAGCGCTTCAATCCATGGTCAGAGTGTGTGTGTCTGTGTTTCTTTCTTTTCATATATTGCGTTCATAGAGGCTGAATTTTCCAGCACTGATATATTCAAATGTGTGGGGTAGATGCTCAACAAGTGTGTGTTGTATGAAAGCTCTACATAACACTTGCATCTATAAGGTCTGAGATCACCAGTAAAGTGTCAACAGAACCCACCTGCCATTATCAGTTTTAAGTTAAATATATTGAGCTTTGGATTTATGGTAGCAATTTAGATATGCCAAGAGAACCTGATGCTACTCTCCAGTAGGACAGTAGGACAGTTGGCCCTCCTTACTAGGATACAACCCTCATGAACCCCACTCTTTCTTGTAAAATCTTATTTTCATCACAATTATCAGCACCTAAATGATACATATTATATGTATTGGGAAAAAAGGCAGTGGTTTGTAAATTAGATGCTAGAACATAGGATTTGCTTTGTGATATATTGGCACAAAGTAAAAAAATCCACCTTGCCTTTTGGTCACAGTAACTTTAAAAAATCCTTGCAGGTATCTCTGAGGACTGAACATAATGAATATTTCAGAGACCATCTTTTGAAAATGTCTGCTCTGATTTCCTTTGGTTTGTGGCAGCCACAAATAATACCAAACCTAACCCTGTTCTGCAAATATATAAAGCTTAGCTCTCCCACAAGTGTTTGTTTTTCAAGATCTTCCCTCAAGTCAGATCTTTAAATCAAAGCTGACCTGTAATGGTGAATGCCTATAAAACTCTCAGATCTCTGTGGAACTGGAAATTGGCCAAAGGTGAAGAGGCATCCAAAAGTAGGACAAATTTCCATTTCCTCATTTTGACATTTTATCACTACAGCCCTGTGAATGCATTATTTAGGCTATAAACAGGGAATGAACCTACCATAGGAAGGCTCAGTTAAAAATTTAGGACCTGTATCTGTCTGCTTGTCAGCATGATACTAGTTCATCATTTGGTTTATTTGCCCCATTACCTTGCTTTTATCCATGAATTACAACACACATACTGAAACACGCAAGAAATGAAAGAGTGTGCAGCTCAAGCAGTTATTATAGAGACCACCACGAGGGTAAAGAAGTAAAACATTTCCTGTGCCACAAAAATATCCCTCATGCCCCCTTCCAATAACTATAGGCTCTGTCCCATGCCACAGATAACTATCCTGACAATACGGCAATTACTTTTTTTTGTATTTTTCTTTGTAGTGTCATCACCTAAGCATATATCCTTAAACATTATCTTTTAGTTTTGTCTGGTTTTTAAATATTATATAAATGGAATTACACAGAGTATTTCCCTTTGTGTCTGGCTTCTTTCACGTAACATTTACGTTTGCTAGAGCCCTTCCACTTGGTATTAGCACATTCATTTTCATTACTGTATCATGTCCCATTGTATGAATGTGCCAATTTATTTATTCATTTCACTGTTGATGGACATTTTGAGTCATGTACATTTTGGGGCTACTGCAAATAATTGTGCCATGAATATTCTTGTATATGTCTCTTGGTGCACAAGCATACACATTTCTGTAGGGTATAAACCTGGGAATGAAATATCTAGATCACAGGGTACACCTATCTGAGAAAGTTTAGTCTAGATAATACCAAATGGTTTTCCAAATTCCCACCAACCCTAAAGATAAGAGAGTTTTTATTGTTTCAAATCCTTACCAACACTTGGTATCACCTATAATTTTAATTTTAGCTAATGTAGTGATATCTCCTTGGGATTCTGATGACTAATGTTGCCAACTGCCTTTTCATTTATTTATTGGCCATTTGGATATCTCTTTTGTACAATCTCTGTTCCAGTCCCTTGTCCATTTTTCTATCAGATTGTTTCTTCTTCATATTCATTGTAGGAATTTTTATATATAGATATGAGCCTCTGTTGGTTATATGTGTTGCAAATATCTTCTCTCATTCTGTGGCCTTTTCACTCCCTTAATGATGTCTTTGAATGAAAGAACTTTCTAATTTTAATATAGTCAAATTTTGTCAATCTGTTTTTGCTGTTGTGGAGGTGGAGGTGGTGGTGGTTGTTTTGATGTTTGGTTTTGGGAGAGGGGGATTTTTTGTTGATTTTTTGGGGGTTTTTTGTTTGGTTGGTTGGTTTTTGGGTTTTGGGTTTTTTGTTCGGTTGGTTGGTTGGTTTTTCTGGCATTTTGTTGTCCTGTTTAAAAAGTCTTTACCTGTCCTGAGTTCACAAAGTCACTCTCCTAAATTATCTTCTAGAAACATTATTATTTCTCCTTCCATGTTTAGAGTACGATCTCCTTTCACATTTAGAGTACATTTAGAGTACATTTACAGTGGAACTGATTTTTATGCAGGAGTCTAGTTTCTGGGTTTCTTTTTTTCTCATGTGGACAGCCATTTGCCCAAGTCCGCTTATGAAAAGACCACCCTTTCCTCACTAGATATTTTTATAATCCCATTCCCCCTTTTTTTTTTCTTGGAAGTTATCTGTTGTATTACCATTCTTTTAGGGTTTAGCCGAGAGATTACAACTTGCAATCTTGACTATTTAAGGACATTAAAACATCTTCACTCCTACTTATTATCTTCCCAACTTACATATTATTGCCATTTTATCCAATAGATACTCTAAATTCATGCAGACATTATTACTTGAAGGATACATCTACTGAATATAAAATTCTAACTTGGCTTGTACTTTGTTTCTGCACCTCAGATACATTCCATTATCTTCTGGCGAGCTTTATTACTATTTAGAAATCGGCTCTCAGTCTACTTTCTGCGTCTTGGAAGGTAATCTTGGTTTATTTTAAAGATCATTTGATTTTGTTTTCCATGGTTTAACTGTTATGTGGCAGAGTATACATTTATTTTTATTTGCCTACTTAGTGTTCCCAGGGCTTCCTTCACTGTTCCTTGATGTTCTTCATCAATTTTGGAAAGTTCTCAGTCAGTATTTGGACAAATATGATCTCTGCTCCGATTCACTTCTGTTTCTCCTTTTTGCACTCCAATTGGCCATATGCCAAGCTTTCTCTTTGTATCTCCTGTGTACTTATTCTCCCTCTTTTTAATTTCTCTGTGCTTCATTCTGCATTTTAACCTATCTTCTAATTTGTAATTCATTCCTCAGCTCTGACAAATCTACTGTTAACACCCCCCCCCATTGCATTCTTAACTTCTCGTACTGTATTTTTCATTTTGAGAATATCCACTGGAGTCTGTTTTGCCATTTCTGGTTTTCTGAAATAGCCTCATTTTTGTCTCTTAAGTCCTTCAACATAAAAAGTAAAATTATAGTTATTTTAAAGTTTATCTTGAGGACTTCAATATCCAAGGCTGCTATATACCTATGCTATTTGATTTTCTTCTTCTGTTCATTTTCATGTTTGTCTTGTAATGTCTCGTTATTTTTTATTAGGTATCATATTTGCAAAATCATTTATAAAAATAATTTTAAGCCTAGGCTGAGGTCATCATGTCATCTTTTCCAAAAAGTATTTCCATTTGCTTCTGCCAGGTTCCTGAATGTATGAGCCATAGGTGATCACTTCATTCTGACTTCATAAACTTGAGATATACAAGTCTGAACTTAAGTCCCTTTAAGGATCTGTCTCCTTCAGGTTGCCATTATTACTAGGATGCAGTCCTTAGGGTCCCAACACAAAGTGGGGACCCTATCCCTATCTGATAGGCCCTCAATGATGGTTCCTGCCCCCAGTTCTGCAAGGTTGTCCAAAATGCCATTCAGTTTTCTAGACTCTTAGCCCCCTTCTAGAATCAGCATATACTCCCAAGGAAAAGGTGGCACCAAAGGTGGCTCACCTTCCTGGCCCCACAGTTCTTCATACCTGGATAGCTGTCCTCTGTCTTTAATCAGAAATATATGTAGTAACTCAATCAGAGAAAGATAGTTATCATATGGTTTCACTCATATGGAATATAAGAAACAAGGCAGAGGACCATAGGGAAAAGGAGGGAAAACTGAATGGGAAGTCATCAGAGAGGCAGACAAACCATGAGAGACTCTTAACTATAGGAAACAAACTGAGGGTTGTTGGAGGGGAGGTAGGTGGGGGGATGGCGTAACTGGGTGATGGGCTTTAAGGAGAGCACATGATGCAATGAGTACAGGGTGTTATATACAACTGACAGACTGTTGAATGCTACATCTAAAACAAGGGATGTACTATAGGTTGGCTAATTGAATTTAAATTTTAAAAAATAAAAAATAAAAGAAAGAAATATATATATTAAAAATACAGTTACTTCTACATCTGAAGGTCATTAAAGCACAGTCTTCATGCAACATGAGGAATATTCAGGATATTCCTGAGGAAAACATAAAAATAATCTCTATGTGGATCCCGCCTTCCTGTTACCCTCCTCCCAGCTCACTAAAAATAAACAGTCTTCCCCAGAGTTACCAAGA